TGGGGTGGGGTGGGGTGGGGTGGGGTGGGGGAGGCTCCAATATCGCAGCCCCCTGTCGCCTTCCTTCCTCCTCCTTTCCTCCATCTGCTCTGCCCTTTGGCTTCTGACCTGTCCACCTGGTGGTGCTCTCTCTCTCCCTGTCTCTCCAGCCACAAGGAAGCCTCCTCCTCCTCCGGAGCGCCAGAGCCATTTGGGCGTGGGGGGCCCCAGGTGTGGCCGGGGAAGCTCCGGGAGGGGGAAGGGTCTCTGGAAGCTCTGTGCCGGGGTCACGGGGGGGGGGTGAGACAGGGAAGCCCTCAAAGTGGGTGCGGCATCACAAGCCAGGGCAGTGGCGCCGGAGGAGGCCTTTCCTGCAATGGGTCGGGTGTGTGTGTCATCACAGCTGCAATAGGCACGGACCTCCCCCTGGAGCCCAGCCAGTGCTGGGACCAAAGTGCACGCCAGGTGTAGGGTGGGCATCCCTTTGCCCCTGTGCTGGCACAAGCGAAATCTCCAGCCAGGAGCCCGGGGATTGTGCCACACCTCGGGGGCAGGGGGGGGCCTGCAACGGGACCCTGATGATCTGCTGCCTGAGGGAGGAGGGAGGGGGCCAAAGGTCCTGCTTCACCGAAGGTCCCCCCCCCCCGGTTATGCTTCAGAAAACGCCCTTCCCGATTGGGTCCAGGAGCCCCTTGAGAGACCAACAACTTCAACAGAGTTGAAGCCTTCGAGAGCCAGGGCTCCCTTCCTAAGCGTACCAGAGTGTGGCAAGAGGCTGCCAGGGGGAGGGGCACATCCCGGGACCGCTCTCTGGGTGTCTGCCAAGGGTTGCCCTTCCGGCCTGGGGCTGGCTGGCTCTCTTGGGAACCAACCCTCTCCCGCTTCATTGTCGACACAACAATGATCTGTTTATAAGCATCTCCCCAGAGGCAACTTTTTCTCTGGTGCCCAAAAATAAACCATGGGAGGAGTGCCAAGGGCTTCCCGCAAGGGCCGGTGGCTGGGGACACACACGGGCTTTCTCTTTCTAGCAACAGCAACTTCCCTTTTCCGGTGCTGTTTTGGGAAGCTGAGCAGAAGCGGTGTTCCGGGAGGGGCCGCCTGGCTTCCTGCTCCTTGCTTCAGGCCTCGAAGGCCGGCTGTGCACTTCCCAAAAGCGACCGAGAGCCCTGCCCCCCAGCCTCCCCCCCATCTTTGCATCCCCCCCCCCTCCAGGCAGCCAGTCGGTCGCTCAAGGGGCCTCCTTTCCTCCTGCTTCTTTGGGGAGACTGAGAAGCCCTGCAAGGAGAGGCCGGGGGACTTCTTGGGAAGCTTCCGTCTGGAGGAGGAGAGGAGGTGGGGGGGGACGGGAGGGCTCCCGTGAAGGATCCGAAGGGCTGCGTCACTCGGAGGAGGGCAGGGACTGTGCCCGTGGGCAGCAGAGGACAAGAGGACTCACAAGAATGGGTTGAAATCAGGGGTGGCCAAACTTGTTTAACGTAAGAGCCACATAGAATAAATGTCAGTTGTTTGAGAGCCGCAAGACATGAACAGATATCACACGTTCGTATTGGACAACATGCAAATTTGCATTTTATGAATATTAAATGAGGCTGCCAAAAATAATACCAAAAGGGGTAAAAGCAGATATTGGTAATGGTATTTATTTGTCGAAGGATCCTTGTTTGCTAGTGATACTGAGCTTCCCCAGCCGCCCTGCCGGGAGCCACACAAAAGGTGTGGAAGAGCCGCATGCGGCTCCCGAGCCACAGTTTGGCCACCTCTAGTTTAAATTCAGGGCGGGAAGGTACCGGCTGGATCTTAGGGAAAGCTTTTTCTACAGTCAGAGTTGTGCAGCAGTGGAATCAGCTGCCCGGGGAGGTGGTGAGTCTCCCCCTCCCTGGCAGTCTTGAAGCAGAGGCTGGGCAGATACTTGTCAGGGAGGCTCTAGGCTGATCCTGCACTGAGCAGGGGGTGGACTAGATGGCCCTTGGTCAGTTGGGAAAAGCCATGAAACATGCAGTCCAAGCATGTTCAGTCTGTTTTTTTTTGGGGGGGGGGGTTTGCAATGACC